GAATTTGGGGGCGTGGCTAGTGAATTTGAGAGGTTATCCAGTAACTTTGGGCCATGGGGAACAAATTTGGGCACATTTCGAGTGATTTTGAGGCTCTTAAAGGGGAATTTTGGGGTGTGGCTACCAAATTTCACAATGTGGCTACCAAATCTGAAAACGGATTTTGTAACTTTGGGCCATGGGGAACAAATTTGGGCACATTTCGAGTCAATTTGGGGTCATTAAAGTTGAATTTTGGGGTGTGGCTACCAAATCTCACGATGTGGCTACCAAATCTGAAAACATATTTTGTAACTTTGAGCCATGGAGAACAAATTTGGGCTCACATCAAGTCAATTTGAGGCTGTTAAAGGTGAATTTTGGGGTGTGGCTACCAAATTTCACAATGTGGCTACCAAATTTGAAAAAGGATTTTGGAACTTTGGGCCATGGGGAATAAATTTGGGCACATTTCGAGTCAATTTGGGGTCATTAAAGGTGGTTTTTGGGGTGTGGCTACCAAATCTCACAATGTGGCTACCAAATCTGAAAACGGATTTTGGAACTTTGGGACATGAGGAACAAATCTGGGGACACTTTGAGTGATTTTGGGGCCACTAAAAGCAAATTTGGGGCCATTTTAAGCAAATTTTGGGGTGTGGCTAGCAAATTTAAATTGCGGCTAGTGCGTTTCTGCCCTCCCAGTCCGTCCCAGCGGCTCCCAGTTTCCCCCAGTACCGGGCCCGCGCTTGTCCCAGCCGCACACCATGGTGCCCAGGCTCAGCCCCATGCCCTTGTACTGGTACACGAGGTTGGCTAGCAACTTGGGGGCCGTGGCTAGCGAATTTGGGGGCGTGGCTAGTGAATATTTTCCGCCATTTTGTAGCGCTAAAATCGCCATTTTTTATCCAATTTTCCGCCATTTTGTAGCACTGAAATCACATTTTTTACCAATTTTTTTGCCATTTTGTATCCTTAAAATCAGATTTTTTTTGCAAATTTTCTGCCATTTTGTGTCCTTAAAATTACATTTTTTCTCCAATTTTCCGCCATTTTGTAGCGCTAAAATCGCCATTTTTTATCCAATTTTCCGCCATTTTGTAGCGCTAAAATCGCCATTTTTTATCCAATTTTCCGCCATTTTGTAGCGCTAAAATCGCCATTTTTTATCCAATTTTCCGCCATTTTGTAGCGCTAAAATCGCCATTTTTTATCCAATTTTCCGCCATTTTGTAGCGCTAAAATCGCCATTTTTTATCCAATTTTCCGCCATTTTGTAGCGCTAAAATCGCCATTTTTTATCCAATTTTCCGCCATTTTGTAGCGCTAAAATCGCCATTTTTTATCCAATTTTCCGCCATTTTGTAGCGCTAAAATCGCCATTTTTTATCCAATTTTCCGCCATTTTGTAGCGCTAAAATCGCCATTTTTTATCCAATTTTCCGCCATTTTGTAGCGCTAAAATCGCCATTTTTTATCCAATTTTCCGCCATTTTGTAGCGCTAAAATCGCCATTTTTTATCCAATTTTCCGCCATTTTGTAGCGCTAAAATCGCCATTTTTTATCCAATTTTCCGCCATTTTGTAGCGCTAAAATCGCCATTTTTTATCCAATTTTCCGCCATTTTGTAGCACTGAAATCACATTTTTTACCAATTTTTTTGCCATTTTGTATCCTTAAAATCAGATTTTTTTTGCAAATTTTCTGCCATTTTGTGTCCTTAAAATTACATTTTTTCTCCAATTTTCCGCCATTTTGTACCAAGTTTTCCCCTTTTTTGTAGCCTTAAAAGCGCTTTTTTCCCCCTATTTTTTGCCATTTTTTAATCCTTAAAATCAGATTTTTTTCTCTAATTTTCCACCATTTTGTGTCCTTGAAATCTGAATTTTTTCCTTATTTTCCGCCATTTTCTGTCCTTAAAATCGCTTTTTTTCTCCAATTTTCCACCATTTTGTAGCACTAAAGTCACTTTTTTTAACCAAATTTTCCCCCATTTTGTATTCCTAAAATTGCCTTTTTATCCAATTTTCCGCCATTTTGTATCCTTAAGATCACATTTTTTACCAAATTTTCCACCATTTTGTATCTTTAAAATTGAATTTTTTCTCCATTTTTCCGCCATTTTGTGTCCTTAAATTCTGAATTTTTTCCCTATTTTTCACCAATTTTATAGCCCTAAAATCACATTTTTTACCTGTTTTCCGCCATTTTGTAGCACTAAAATCGCCATTTTTAACCTATTTTTCTGCAATTTTGTAGCCTTAAAATCGCTTTTTTTCCCCTATTTTTTGCCATTTTTAATCCTTGAAATCAGATTTTTTCTCCAATTTTTCTGCCTCTTTGTGTCTTTAAAATCGCATTTTTCCTCCAGGTTTCCGTCATTTTATAGCACTAAAATCCACATTTTTTACCTATTTTTCTGCCATTTTTTATGCTTAAAATCGCTTTTTTCTCTAATTTTCTGCCATTTTGTAGCACTAAAATTGCATTTTTTACCTATTTTTTTGCCATTTTTTATCCTTAAAATCAGATTTTTTCTCTATTTTTCCGCCATTTTGTATCCTTAAAATCGCTTTTTTCCTCCAATTTTTCTGCCATTTTGTAGTGCTAAAATCACATTTTTTACCTATTTTTTCATCACTTTGTAGCACTAAAATCGTGATTTTTTACCTATTTTCCCGCCATTTTGTATTCCTAAAATCGCTGCTTTTTACCAAATTTTCCGCCATTTTGTAGCCCTAAAATCTGAAATTTTTCCCTATTTTTTTGCCATTTTGTATCCTTAAAATCAGAATTTTTTCCCTATTTTTTTGCCATTTTTTATCCTTAAAATCAGAATTTTTTCTCTATTTTTCTGACATTTTGTGTCACTAAACCCAGATTTTTTCTATATTCTCTATTTTTTCACCATTTTTCAAAAAAAAATCATCATTTGTTTGCACATTTCTCCCCCTAAAATCCCCAATTTTTTCCCTAAAATCCCCATTTTTTCCTCAACTTTTTCACCCTTTTTTCCTCTAAAATCCCCTTTTTTACCCAAATTTTCTCCCCTAAGATCTAATTCTTTTCCTCCCATTTTCTCTCCTAAAATCCTTTTTTTCCCCCTCAATTTTTCTCTATTCTCCCCTCATTTTTCCACCTAAAATCCCTTTTTTGTCCCCATTTTCTCTCAAATTTCCTCCCCTAAAATCCTATTTTTTTCCCCTTCTAAATTTCTCATTTCTCTCCCCAAAATCCCCCATTTTTTGCTCCCCAAAATCCCCATTTTTTCCCCAAAAAAATCCCAAATTTTTCTCCCCAGCCACAATTTTTAGGTCCAAAAATTAGAATTTTCATGTTCCCGGATAGAAATTTTGGGTCCAAACCTGAAAATTTTGGGTCCAAAATGGAATTTTTTGGGTCACAGATGAAATTTTGGGTCCAAAAGTGAAATTTTTTCGGGTCCCACAGGCAATTTTTTGGTCCAAAACTGAATTTTTTGGGACCAAAATGGAATTTTTTGGGTCCCAGACAGGAATTTTGTGTCCAAAATGGATTTTTTTTGGTCCAAAACTGATTTTTTTCGGTCCCAGAGGCAATTTTTGGGTCCGAAATGGATTTTTTTGGGTCCCAGACAACATTTTTAAAATCCGAACCAGAATTTTTAAGCCGCCTAGACGCGATTTTTGACTCCCAGAGGGGATTTTTGGGACAAAAAATGGAATTTTGAGGTCCCCAGCCGCGATTTTTTGCTCCCAAAAGTGAATTTTACCCTCCCCACCCGCGGTTTTTGAGTCCAAACCGGAATTCCACCCTCCCCAGCCGCGATTTTTGGGTTTAAAAGTGAATTTTGAAGCGATTTCCCCTCACCTTAAAAGCCAATGTGGTGGTGCCGTGAAGGATCTGCAGCCCGGGCCCCTCCGGCTCTGCCTCAACGCCCCAGGGCGGAGCCGCCAGGACCCGCGGAGGGCCCGAGGCATCCCGCAGGATTTCGGGGATCCCCTCGGAATCCTCGGGAAAACTTTTGGAAAAAGATTTCGGGAAAGATTTGGAGAAATCCGGGAGCTCCGAACGGAGGACGCTGGCGAGCGCCATCTTGGATCCTGGCGCCTGAGGGCGGCGCAGCTCGGAAAATGGCGGCGGTGACGCAGCGCTGGCGCCATCTTTGTTAAGGGCAATGAGGAAAACTTGTGAAATGGCGGCCGCGCATGCGCAGAGTCGGCTAAATTGAGGCGTGAGGGCGCGGGCGCCATTTTGGTTGAGGGCAGGGCGGGAAGCAAAAAGGGCGGGAAGGCCCCAGCGCCATTTTGGTTGAGGGCATGACTTAGGGAATGGAATTAAATCGGAATTAAAGCCTTAAAATGAGGGGAAAAATGGGAATTTCGGTTAAATTTAAAGTCTAAAATTAAAGAAGTTGAAGTTATGAATTGGCGGAGAAGGGTTTGGGGGGAAAAAGCCGCGGTTTTGAGGAGAAAAAAAGGGGTTTGGGAGGATTTTGTGAGGGGTTTTGGGATGAAATTTCACAGGTTTGGAGCAGTTTGAGGAAAGGCCTGAGGAGATTTGAGGTAAAAAATTATTTTTTTGAGGGATTTGAGACAGAAAATTGAGATTTAGGGGGATTTTGTGAGGTGATTTGGGGTAAAAATGATTTTTTGGAGGGATTTGAGAGGAGATTTGAGGTAAAACGTGCAGGGTTTGGGGATTTGGGGAAGGGTCTGAGGTGAAAAAGTTTAATTCCAAATAAACTTGGTGAGGAATTTGAGGTAAAATTCCCTTTTCTTGTGGTTTTGGTGAGGAATTTGAGGCAAAATCCCCACATTTGGGGTTTTTCTGAGGCGATTTGAGGTGAAAATTTGATTTTTGGGGGGGAGTTGAGGCAAAAAATCTCATTTTTTGTGACTTTGTGAGGAGATTTTTGTCAAAAATAATATTTTTGAGGATTTTGTGAGGGGATTTTTGTCAAAAATGACATTTTTGGGGACTTTGTGAGGAGATTTTTGTCAAAAATCCCATTTTTGTGCACTTAGGAAATTTGAGGCAAAATTTGCAGGTTTGAGGTGATTTGTGTCCAAAATATTGAATTTTGGTGAGGCTTGAGTGGATTTTGAGCCAAATTCTGAGGATTTCAACGCAAAAATTCAATTTTTAAACTACAAAGATATGAGGAGCCCCTAAATCTTTTAAATCCCCCCCATGAGGAAATTTGAGGCAAAATCTGCAGGTTTTGAGCAGTTTGAGGTGATTTGTGTCCAAAAATATTGAATTTTGGTGAGGCTTGAGTGGATTTTGAGCCAAATTCTGAGGATTTCAACCCAAAAATTCAATTTTTAAACTACAAAGATTTGAGGAGCCCCTAAATCCTTTAAATCCCCCCCAAAATCCGGCGCTGGTGCGGAAAATTTGAGGTAAAATCCCCTTTTTTTGGTTGTTTTAATGGTTTAAATAAAAGGGGGAAGAGTGAGGCCCCTCCCAGTTCATCCCAGTTCGTCCCAGTAACCCCAAATCCCCTCCCAGTTCATCCCAGTAAGCATAAAATTAACTCAGATTAATGCAGATTAATTCGAAATGATTTAGAGGAAAATCCAAACTCTGAAACCCCCGAAATCCCCGGAATTCACCCCAAAACCCGCGCGGGGGAAAAAACCTAAAAATAACCCTGAAATTAACGCGAAATTAACCGAAATTTGCATAAAATTAACTCAGATTAATGCAGATTAATTCGAAATGATTTAGAGGAAAATCCAAACTCTGAAACCCCCGAAATCCCCGGAATTCACCCCAAAACCCGCGCGGGGGAAAAAACCTAAAAATAACCCTGAAATTAACATGAAATTAACAGAAATTTGCATAAAATTATCTCAAATTAATCCAAATTAATTTGAATTAATTGCTGAGCTCTGAACACCCCGAATAACCCCAAAAAACCCCGAATTTACCCCAAAAATTGGTCTGGAAAAAATGGGATTTTTATTCCTTAAAAATAATCCCCAAATTAGCATAAAATTAACCAAAATTAGCATAAAATTAACTGAAATTAACATAAAATTAACTCAAATTAATTTCTGGTCTCTGAACTCCCTGAATTCAACCCAAAACCCCCAAAATTTACCCCAAAAAACCCAAATTCACCCCAAAAACTGCTCTGGAAAAAGTAGGATTTTTATTCCCTAAAAATGACCCCAAATTAGCATAAAATTAACCGAAATTAGCATAAAATTATCTCAAATTAATCGAAATTAATTTGAATTAATTGTTGAGCTCTGAACAGCCCGAATCACCCCAAAAAAACCCGAATTTACCCCAAAAATTGGTCTGGAAAAAATGGGATTTTTATTCCTTAAAAATAATCCCCAAATTAGCATAAAATTAACCAAAATTAGCATAAAATTAACTGAAATTAACATAAACTTAACTCAAATTAATTTATGGTCTCTGAACTCCCTGAATTCAACCCAAAAACCCCAAAATTTACCCCAAAAAACCCAAATTCACCTCAAAAATTGGTCTGGAAAAAATAGGATTTTTATTCCCTAAAAATGACCCCAAATTAGCATAAAATTAACCGAAATTAGCATAAAATTATCTCAAATTAATCGAAATTAATTTGAATTAATTGTTGAGCTCTGAACAGCCCGAATCACCCCAAAAAAACCCGAATTTACCCCAAAAAACCCAAATTCACCCCAAAAACTGCTCTGGAAAAAGTAGGATTTTTATTCCCTAAAAATGACCCCAAATTAGCATAAAATTAAATGAAATTTGCATAAAATTAACTCAAAATAACCCAAATTAATTGCAATTAATTTAAAGAAAAATCCAAAGTCTGAATCCTTCCAAAATCTCCCAAATTAACTCAAATTGATTTAATTAACTCAAATCAACCCCAAATCACCAAAATTAACCCCAATTTATTCTCATTAATTAAATTAACCCCAAATTAATTTTATTTAATTCAAATTAACACCAAAATTAACCCAAATTGGCTTTAATTACCTTAAATTTACCCCAAATTAACCCAAATTGGCTTTAATTAACTCAAATTAACCCCAAAATCACCAAAATTAACCCAAATTGGCTTTAATTAACTCAAATTAACCCCAAAATCACCAAAATTAACCCAAATTGGCTTTAATTAACTCAAATTAACCCCAAAATCACCAAAATTAACCCAAATTGGCTTTAATTACCTTAAATTTACCCCAAATTAACCCAAATTGGCTTTAATTAACTCAAATTAACCCCAAAATCACCAAAATTAACCCAAATTGGCTTTAATTAACTCAAATTAACCCCAAAATCACCAAAATTAACCCAAATTGGCTTTAATTACCTTAAATTTACCCCAAATTAACCCAAATTGGCTTTAATTACCTTAAATTTACCCCAAATTAACCCAAATTGGCTTTAATTAACTCAAATTAACCCCAAAATCACCAAAATTAACCCAAATTGGCTTTAATTAACTCAAATTAACCCCAAAATCACCAAAATTAACCCAAATTGGCTTTAATTACCTTAAATTTACCCCAAATTAACCCAAATTGGCTTTAATTACCTTAAATTTACCCCAAATTAACCCAAATTGGCTTTAATTAACTCAAATTAACCCCAAAATCACCAAAATTAACCCAAATTGGCTTTAATTAACTCAAATTAACCCCAAAATCACCAAAATTAACCCAAATTGGCTTTAATTACCTTAAATTTACCCCAAATTAACCCAAATTGGCTTTAATTACCTTAAATTTACCCCAAATTAACCCAAATTGGCTTTAATTAACTCAAATTAACCCCAAAATCACCAAAATTAACCCAAATTGGCTTTAATTAACTCAAATTAACCCCAAAATCACCAAAATTAACCCAAATTGGCTTTAATTACCTTAAATTTACCCCAAATTAACCCAAATTGGCTTTAATTACCTTAAATTTACCCCAAATTAACCCAAATTGGCTTTAATTAACTCAAATTAACCCCAAAATCACCAAAATTAACCCAAATTGGCTTTAATTAACTCAAATTAACCCCAAAATCACCAAAATTAACCCAAATTGGCTTTAATTACCTTAAATTTACCCCAAATTAACCCAAATTGGCTTTAATTACCTTAAATTTACCCCAAATTAACCCAAATTGGCTTTAATTAACTCAAATTAACCCCAAAATCACCAAAATTAACCCAAATTGGCTTTAATTAACTCAAATTAACCCCAAAATCACCAAAATTAACCCAAATTGGCTTTAATTACCTTAAATTTACCCCAAATTAACCCAAATTGGCTTTAATTACCTTAAATTTACCCCAAATTAACCCAAATTGGCTTTAATTAACAGATTAATGCAGATTAATTCGAAATGATTTAGAGGAAAATCCAAACTCTGAAACCCCCGAAATCCCCGGAATTCACCCCAAAACCCGCGCGGGGGGAAAAACCTAAAAATAACCCTGAAATTAACGCGAAATTAACATAAATTTGCATAAAATTAACCGCAATTAGCATAAAATTAACTCAGATTAATGCAGATTAATTCAGAATAATTTAGAGGAAAATCCAAACTCTGAAACCCCCAAAATCCCCGGAATTCACCCCAAAACCCGCGCGGGGGAAAAAACCTAAAAATAACCCTGAAATTAACATGAAATTAACAGAAATTTGCATAAAATTATCTCAAATTAATCCAAATTAATTTGAATTAATTGCTGAGCTCTGAACACCCCGAATAACCCCAAAAAACCCCGAATTTACCCCAAAAATTGGTCTGGAAAAAATGGGATTTTTATTCCTTAAAAATAATCCCCAAATTAGCATAAAATTAACCAAAATTAGCATAAAATTAACTGAAATTAACATAAAATTAACTCAAATTAATTTCTGGTCTCTGAACTCCCTGAATTCAACCCAAAACCCCCAAAATTTACCCCAAAAAACCCAAATTCACCCCAAAAATTGGTCTGGAAAAATAGGATTTTTATTCCCTAAAAATTACCCCAAATTAGCATAAAATTAACTGAAATTTGCATAAAATTAACTGAAAATAGCCCAAATTAATTGCAATTAATTTAAAGAAAAATCCAAAGTCTGAACCCTTCCAAAATCACCCAAATTAACACAAATTGATTTAATTAACTCAAATTAAGC